CTAAAATGTGCAGGACAACCGTCGTGCATAAACCACATCTCACGTCGCATAAGTAGCGGAATATTTTCCAGGAGTACTGACAGATTTTCTTGTAAAAACTGTAAATAAGAAGTTTCATTAAGAGTTCCTGGTAATTCGAAAGGTTCTATTAACCTATTAACGTATTATTCACAATTCCCGCCCATAGATTCACTCTGAATCGTTGTTGAAAAATTCTGGGATACCTCGAGTTGGTGAGAAATTTGACGAGTACTCGTGCTTCGATCCGCTTCCACAATTTCTAGAATTTCTTCTTCTACATTCACTCCATGTCTGTTTAGTCTACCGCCACCAAGACCTTTCTTAGGTTGCAAATTTCCTGTCTCTCTTCCCCGCTGGATTAACCGAAGAAAAGTGTTTTCAGAAGGGATCTGTCGATTTGGATATCGTTCTAAATACAGACGTCTTGCGTGTGCAGCGTTTTCTCCAGCAGCTCCATAAATAATAAGCATATCTACGTATTCTTCGTTACTGTACATTACCATTGTATTTTTTGATTAGTAAAAATTCTAATTTTGACGTTAAATGACATTGATTATTNTCCAATAACAGACGATTTTGATTCACGAAAAAAGTTTATTTCTCTTTGCGTGTCGAATCTATTGGTAAGTACACGTGAGAAACGTGTTTTGATCGGCGCGGTGGCGGCGCCGAGGGTTAGGATTACCTAAACAGTTCCCGTACGGTTATTATAAACATTTCGAAAAAAAATTATTAGAAAAATCGTTTCAGAATAATGTATCCTACAACCGTATAATGCTCTGATGCGGAAGATACGGGACACAGTGTATATATCAAAGAGGGGGTTTTAGCTGGACGTTCAGTTACGCACCCTTTTTAAGATATCAACATTTTGATGGTCCCATCATTTAGTGCTATTTATGTGCTAATTGCGTACGACATTAAAATTTTTTGTAGATACTAATCATTTAATATATGTTTTATGTATATCAAAGTGGGGGGTGTAGCAAGACGTCCAGTTACACCCCCCTTTTAAAATATCAGCATTTTGATAGTGCCATAATTTTGTGGTATTTATGTACTAATTTTGTATTACATTAAAATTTTTGGTACTAATCATTTAGTATTTATTTTATACAGGTGTTTCAGGTTTTTGTCGCAGGACATTATCAGTCGATAGATCTTTTAAAATTAACACAAAAACTTCATATAAACATAAACGCTTTGTTTTGGAGCTACAGGATGTTCAAATTAAATTTTTAAATTGATTTTTATTTAATATTACACGTGTATTTCAACCGATTCTTTTCAAATTTGGCATATGGAGTAATGTATTCCATACGGATTAAAATAACAATAACTTTTCTGACAGTCTACTTTTTGGCTTTTTGAACAAAAATTCTTATTTTCGGTACTTTTTTAGGCAAAAACGGTACTCTTATCAAAATGTGCTAAAGTTGATCGTTTTCATGATATTCCGCTTTTTATTATTCGATATTAACCAATTTTTTACAGGATTATTAAAGATAGGTATAATATTGTTTGCCATTGACAAAGTAGGTAACTTCACTAATAGTGTTAAATTAATTTTTCTTATTCGTTAACGTGTTAAATTCAATTTTCTTGCTTATTAACGTGCTAAATTCATTACTCTTTTTCTTAATTGGGTCATTTTTTAATTTTTTGTTTGCTGCATAAAAACGTTATATGTTTTTATGCAGCAAAATATATAAAATATAAAATACCGTTTATTTTTCCTAACCAACAGTTAGCGGATATTCATTTTGTTTATGGGTTTGCAAACGGAAATTCAGCAGAAGTAGCCCTAGAGTATAGGAGAAGATATCCAAATAGAAGACATCCGCATCCTTCTCTGTTTGTGAAAGTGGATAGACATAGTAGTTGAACAAGGGCTAAATAATGACGGGTAGATCGTAGATCGTAATAATGACGATGTTAGACTGCAAAAAACTTTAGAAGAAGAATTTTGCGTGAGTTCGACAGAAACCTCACGACGAGTGTTAGAAGAGTTTCGAATGTCTTACGAATTTCTAGGGCGCGTCTTTATCGGCTTTTAAAACATGATCATAGACATGCTTATCATTTACAACCCTTGCAAGGATTGCAACCAGGCGATGAAGTTCTTAAATACCATTACTCGATCAGTAATTCGTCGGTCAGAATTATGTAAACAAAATTTTCTACATTTTCAACAATTTTTTTCTTTTATCATTTAGATTAAAAAACATTAATAAACTAAAACATTAATTAATTTACCTACTTTGTTTCCATGGCACACATTATTTTAACTATCTTTAACTATCCTCTAAAAACATTGGCCTGTATCAAATAATAAAAAGCGGATTATCTTGAAAACGATAAACTTTAGCGCATTTTGATAAGAGTACCCTTTTTACTTGAAAAGTATACAGAATAAGAATTTTTATTCAAAAAGACAAAAAGTATACTGTCAGAAAAGTTATTGTTATTTTAATCCGTAAAGAATATCTTTACCGGCTATAGTAAAACGGATTCCACAATCGTCTTTCTCATGTTAAAAAACCTCCGTATACCAAATTTGAAAAGAATCGGTTGTAATACACGTGTAATATTAAATAAAAATCAATTTAAAAATGTAATTTGAACACCATGTATCTCCAAAACAAAACGTTTGTCGACTATGTTTATATGAAGTTTTTATGTTAATTTTAAAAAATCTATCGACTGTTAAAATCGTACTCTACCTTTTACGATAATTACAGAGTTTTACGATTTTGTTTTCATAATTATCTCTTTATGTTTTATAATATATTCATAATATATATTCATTTATTAAGTCCATATGTTTAACTCCCTCAGAATGCTTTTTAATTATTTCTTGTTTTTTTTAATACTTATTTTTTTTTTTTTAATTTCGGCCAGATGATGTCCACACAATCTATTATTTTTAAACTGCACAATACTAATTTGAAAAACAGTTAATAGTTGAAAACATATGTCCATATGATTGGCTGATTAGCAAAAAGGTATATTTCGCAATACATATTACGTAACATAACGTAGATCGAGTTATAACTTTTGATTTTAAATGTTTCGTAAGTCGAAATACTCGTAAGTTAGAGCTCTCGTTTCAATAACAACATTTTATCTACAAAAACTGTTGAAAATGAACACCTCCAGCTAAGATGCAAGAATCCAATCTTTTCCCCATTCACTGCCGAATCCTTTCAGAAACACCATGATCGTTTCTTACTGAATTACAGCATATGATTTCGCAAGTCTTTCACATTTTCTAGTGGAGTAGTGTAAACTAGCAGTTTAAGTCCGGGGATCGGGCAGGCCACAAGTGAGGTCCACCTCGACAAATCCAGCGATCTCCATATGTTTCTGTCCAAAACTCACGAGTAACCTTACTAAAATGCGCTGATGCACCATTGAGCATAAACCATATTGAATTTTGAATTTATATACAACGCATTCTCTTCCAGTTCAACCGTTCTGACTGTCATTGGCCTTCCTGATCCTCCACTTCGTTCCAATGAGCTTGTTTCATAAAGACGTTGATGAATACTTTGGAAGATTTTTCTATCAGGAATATTACGCTGGGAAAATCGGTCAATGTACAACCACCTAGTTTAGTAATCGGAATGTTGTTAAAAGAGGTAGAAAGGTGCATATGTAGCATACGCGGATGACATCGTGGTCATGGCGAGAGAAGCGGCGGAGATGAAAGATATGATAAAGACATTGGAAAGATATTTTAGGGGGAAGGGGCTGGAAGTGAATGTGGGGAAGACAAGGATGATGAAGTTTTGTAAGGGTGGGAGAAAAAGAACAGAAAACTGGAGATGGGAGGGAAAAGAAATCGAGGAGGTTAGGGAGTATACTTACTTGGGGTATGTGTTCAGGGAGGACAACAGGGAGGGGTCGCATGTGATAGCTATGGCAAAAAAGGCGAATAAGGTGATGGGACAAGTATGGGGTTGGGGNAAAATGGGAAGAACAAAAGCCCGCTTCCACAATAAAGGAAAGACACCCATTATCAATGAAGCATTAAATAAAATAGTTAAAGGAAGGGACAGAGAGTGTGAACATTCCTTGATTAAAATTGATGGAATACCATCAGTACCTATACTGTCTGTAACCCTGATGCCCATCAGGGCCTCCTCAACCTCAATTCTGTCAAACTGCATCTGACTCAAAGGAAGGGTATCCATTTCTATACAATCGACATTCTGCTGGATTGGAGCAGGATCCACAAAAACCGAAGAAAAGAAATCAGCAAACAATGAGCATACTCCGACACCATCGCCGACAACAGTTCCATTCCATGACATCGTAGAAGGAATGACATCCGCACGCTTCTTAGACTTAGTAAAAGCCCAAAACACCTTTGGATCAGATTGCATATTACATATTACTTTCAGCTCTTCAATAATAAAGGATTTTCCATTGCAAAAGTGCAAAATTGTCTTTAATTTCATCCAACACAATGGTAAACATGAAGATTTCAAATATTCTTAGAATAGCCCAAAGAATAACCCTTTGAATTTTTGTCGCTTGTTTAATAAACAGCCTGTATATATAGTCATCTAAATTCTTGACCAAGATTTCATTTAAAAACAATTTAAAAACGCACCCAAAAACCAACTAACCCCAAAATAATGAGATATAATCCTTGTGTTAGATGATTTCATGAAGATTGGATTCAATATGGAGATTTGGGAAGAATACAATTCGCATTTTTTTTTTCAAACTGAATTGTCCCGTGTATGAAATAAGAGAGAACGCTCCATTATCAACTTTTCGTATATAACGAATAAAAAGTATTTTCACAATTATTTGAGGATTACAATAAATTTTAATTAATATAAAAGCTATGATAAAAACTTACCGAGCAGGTGGTTCATAAATTTCTTCATCAGAATGATCTAAAATCCCCAAAGACCCGATTTCGGATCGTTTCAAAGTCGCAATTTTTCGTTCCTCCTCCGCTTTCATCTTTTCAATTTCATCCGCGCTTAAATAACTAAAAACCTTTTCCGGTTTCGGCGACGGTTTCTGACTCTCTTCCATCGCGTTTTCAAAGAATTTCAATCGTTCACTCATCGGTACCTTTTTAGTTTTCGGTGAAGGAGGTGGCTAACAAAAAAAATAAATAAAAATAAACATTTTTAAAATACAATTTCAAACAATAAAACAAAAATTAAAAAAATAAAATAAAACAAAACAAATCTTTTTAAATTTTATTAAAGTACCTTTTGATTTATTTCTAATTCTTGAACACTATGAAACGTAAAATTATCCTTCATATCGACCAAAAACGGATTAGTCACGTGAAAATCATAACTTTCCCCTAAAACTCCTTCCCGGGAAACGCACCGAACGAATTTTAAGTTATTTTGAGGTGCATCTTCGCTTAATAAATTCGAAGTCGATTTAGCCCATGATTTCGGTTTTGTTGGAACTTGAGGGGGGATTTTTGGTTTGAAAACTTTAACATCGTCGTATTTTTTAAATAATTTATCCGCGAACGAATCCGTTTTTTGAACCGTCGATTCCGAATGAATTTTTAAAACATCCAATTTTGGTTCTTCAATAATTGTAGGAGGTGGGGTTAATGGTAAAGGTGGTGGGATATCATCGTTTGGGTCTAAAGTTTTTGGAGATGAAGTTTCTAATTTTAAATCGGGTTGACTTTTTTTTCGGAATCGATTCAAAGTATCATTTAAATTTGAATCTTTTTTCTCAATTTCTTCAATAACTTCTTCTTCTCCATTCTCTACGGAAATATCTAAACTTTTTTCTGTTATAATAAGGGATGAGGCATCACTTTTATTAAATTTTTCAACAAATTCTTCAATTTCTTTATCGAAGGATGGGGTTTTATTGATGAGTTGAATATCATCGATTATTTCTTCCAACTTTTTTACTTCCTCCTCTTCTTTATCTATTACTTCTTCGTCACTTAATGCAAAATCGATTGGGGGTGGGGGTGGAGGCACAATAAGCGAATTTATTTCGATGGGTTCTTCAATAATCGGGGGAGGAACCACAAAATCAAACACAGGAAAATCCTCGATTGGTGGTGGGATATCGCTTAAATTAAACGATGCTCGATTCAAATCTAAATCTTCTTTTTCTTCTTTCGATTTAATCGAATCGTTTTGATGTTCATCCTGAAGATTTTTTTTTAATACAAAATATGATTTAATTCTTTAACCCGTCACCTTTCCTTGCGTACCACTTAAAACACGGATTCAACAACGATTTTGCTTGTACAAACAAACAATAAAGCACAACATACCAAAAATATATATATTTAATAATAAAAATCACAATATTGTTTCCCACTCATTAATGTAGTAAATGCACGAACATTTCACAAATGTCACAATATTTATTTAAAAATAATAATAATAATACAATCTGGGTGATTCTTTAAATTATGGGTTTTAATAATTTACACCCAAATTGTATTAATGACATAAACAATACAAATAGGCACATAAATAAGCCTTAATAATAAAAAAAAATCATTATAATCGGACAATAAATAGCGTACTAATATATATATATATATATACAGGGTGAGTTATTACTATCTTGGCGGTCGATGGTTATTAAACCGTTTGAAAAACAAAAAAATATTTTATACAAAAGTTGTTTGACTCATCACTTTCTATTACGAAAAATTATTTTCACTTATACAGGATGTTCCATTTAGGCGTACGTAAATTTGTTTAAATGGAACACCCTGTATATTTTATCGTATATGTTACTATTTCACAATGTTCATAGTTCCTGAGACATTCAATTGTTCTTCCAAAATGTGCCCATTACAAGATCTTTTTAAAAACGATGTAAAAACGACATTTTTTCCAATTTTGCCTTGAAACTATGTCAGATAATAGTTAAAGCCAGTAGGTAGATGATAGTATCCAAAGATATTAGATACGCTATACAGTGTGTTCATAAAGCTTAGTTACTTTAATAATAATAATAACCACTTTATTGATGTCAAAAAAAAAACAACAAATATCATTTTACAAGCGAAAGGCAATTTACATAATGTAAGAATTCTGATTTAAAGCCACCCCATACGCAAAGAAAAAAAGTACAAAACAAAATAAGATAATAAAATCCAAATTGGCAATAGATCACCTGTAATTAACAATAAGAGAGAGCTCATTCAAGAGACAGGCGGGTGAAACTCAGAAGTCACTGGTTTGCACAAAATCAAATTACTTTTGCAGAATAGACTTATATCTCTTTCTAAACCTAAACCGGCTAAGTAGTGTGTAATCAAATGGTATACTATTCAGAATTGTAGCTGCTAAATAAGAGAACAAACGGTTAAATAATTCGTGACGGTGAGTAGGAATAAAAATCACATTTTTGTGTCTTAAATTCAAATTATGCACATTAGTTCTATAGGTATAGTAGTATAGGTATAGTATAGTAGTTCTATAGGGTCTACGAGTCATGTCCAGCCAACCAGCGTAAGCAATCATATGAGAGATCCCATCTCCCCGCCTAATACCGTAGACAAATCTGAGGCAAGACTTCTGCACTCTCTGAACTCTTAATGAGTCAAGGGTAGTAAGACAAGACCCATACACCAAGTCACAGTGATTGAATAGAGAAAGAATTAGCGAATCACACAATAACAACTTAGTTTCCTTATTCAATATCTGCCTACTTGGGTATAACATTTTTAATTTGCCATACGACTGTCATATCAAATTGTTGATATGATTACAACACCTTGAGTTTATCCACGATTGGTACAGGATTGTGAAGTATCTCAACATTAGCCGCATCATTCAAAAACAGCTTTCTGTAGCTCTTCGCAACCAAAACAATCATAGAACACTTCAATGGATTCAATCTGAGTTGGTGTGCCTCAGACATAGCAGCCAAATGATCTAGATCAGAATTTATTAGATTCACTGCTTCTTTAATTTGATTGGATGGAAAGGAGTAATAAACCACAGTGT